ATGTGAAAACAGACATAGCATAATATTAATTGAAAAAAAAATGTTATTTCATCTGGTACATCATCTGGTAGTATATTTATGAAAACATTGGCAGATAAACATAAATGAAATAAAAAAAGGTTAGTATCAATGTAAGCTTCATTTATATTCATAACAATGTAAGCAAAGTGCTGGTAAAATTCACAAAAAACCGTTACTTACCAATAGATCTGACTGGGGAGTGGACAACAATAATTTTACGAAAATATTCAAGGCATTGTCTAAAGCTTCATCGCCGTATAGTCTAAAAACTCCAAAATTCACATAGCTTCCGCACAGGGCAGCTTTGAGCATGGAAAAACATATCGAAATGCCCTTCAGCTTAAGGGGATATGTTTGCTCTTTTGGTACTTCTACATTTAATATCCTACTTCCTGAAAAAATATTAAATTGTGGAAAATCCTACACATTCAAATTGATTCAAATTCAAAATTAATTGTGATTGTGGAATATCCACTTTTAACTCTCTTGGAACAGAATATTTGATGGGTATATTGAAAAATTTTTCTATATACAAGGTATGTCGAAAAATTAAGGTGAATGTTCAAATTTCGCGGGCTACTTACATGCGATAGGCGATTTTTTTAATTTTTCATGTTGTTACACTCGTCACGAACATATGTTCACAGTTTCAGCTGTTTAATATGTTTGGTTTGTTGGTGTTGAGGCACTAAAGTTAGAAGTGTTTTCGAACATACCTCGTGTTAATATTGATCTCAAATGATACAATAATGCCATGGTACAAGTGGGAGATTCCCAATAACTGTTTGAAGAGATTAAATTTCAAGAGCGAACTTTTGTAACTTTTCAGTTAGGAAGTTGCTTTGTAATTTACACTTGAATATCAAGAAATGATGCTAAATATTTTTCATCATCTGTTTCCTGAATTTGAAAGTTATTATTAATTTGAATTGATCCTTAATTTGGAGCTAAGAATCTGTTAGTTCTAAGAAGATTTGAAATCGTTTTCAATTTCCTTTTTGGATGATTCCAGATTTCTGTCTGGTATATTATAACATTATCATCAGCTTAAGAGTGTATATGCCCTACCATTTTCATATTGAAGAGCTAATAGCTACATCTTTCTTTAGGGAACTCGAAATTCATTTTTTTTTGTTCAGGACAGAGTTTTATCGTCGTTGACATGTTGAATTCTACAGCCTAGATAATTTTTTAAAACAGTTCTTCGTTAATCAACCACAACAGCAACAACAGAAACATACATAGACATATTAAAAGAATTAGACAAAAAAAGATGTCCAATTGGAATATACTGCGATCTGAGCAAAGCGTTTGACTGTGTTCCACACGATTGATTGTTACAAAAGCTGTGGATTTATAGGATTTATTTATTTATTTCATCAGAGGAAATACACATCAATGGTTTCGGTCTTATCTTGATGGTAGAAATCAATATGTTCAGATATCTCACATTAAGGATGATGGACAAAACAGCATACACTGCTCAGATTTGATAACGATAAGTGTAGGGGTCCTTGCACCTATATTGTTCTCCTTATATATAGCAGATATTGTTAAATACCTAGATGAATACCTTTCCTTCACCTTTTCTTAGATTTAAAAAATATGTGAAATCTATTTTTATTTATAATTAGTTATCGGTTCTACATATACTGTTTATTTAGTTTTTTGTTAATATTCATTACTATATAGTGTAATGACAATGTACTTAACATGTTTGATATACTGGAATACCTATTCACTTGTAAAATAATCCTCATTCCACGATTCTGTAACTTTTGTAAAGCCGATACCTTATTTTGGTCAAATGAGTATAAGAGACTAGCACAATAATCAAAATGGGGTTGGGTTATACAATTATATAATGTGATTTTTGAGTACATCGAAAGCTGAGATGACATTCTTGGAAAAAATATATTTTTTTTGTATTTTTTTGTTTTAAATAATCAAAATGAGCATGAAGAGATAAACGATTATCCACCATGGAACCTAAGTATTTGAATTCACTTACGAACTCTATTACATCACCTGCAATTTGTAATCTTATGTTGAGATTGTTGATGAGTGATAGCTTATAACCATTTGATAAGATCATATATTTTGTTTTGGAGGTGTTGACTTTTAGTTTATTGCGATTCATGTACTTGGAAACATTTCTTAGTTCATTATTCATTTGATCAGCTACTGTTCATATATTATCTCCTGAAATTGATAACAAGTTGTCATGTGCAAAAAGGTTCATGAAATCACAACCGTATTTATATCATTCAGGTAGATTAATTATAATATAGGTCCCAAAACACTCCCCTGAGGTACCCCGAAAATGACATCGCGAGATGATGACACTGAATCATTTATTTTGGTTACCTGTTAGCGTTGTGCTAAATAATCAGTCAGCCATAACAAAATGGTTTTTCTGATACCAATACCTTGGAGTTTATTTAGTAATATGTGGCGATCCATTGTCTCAAAAGCTCTTTTAAGATCTAAAAATACGGCTATAATAATGTCCCTTATCTATTGATTCTTTCCATTTTGATATTGTGACTTGTAATGCAGACTCACATGAATTGTGTTTTCTGAAACCTGACTGATATGTTAGTAAAATATCATTATTTTCTAGATATTCAATGAGTTGATTATAAACTGCGAGTTCTATTATTTTTTCAATACAAGGCAAAGTGTTGATTGGTCTGAATTCCCAGGATTCATGTAACAATTTAATGACAAGAATTATACTTTGGTTCTCAACAAACAAATAATATGTCAATTCTGGTAAAACAAATTTTTCAATATTTCACTGTAGACAAAAGAGAATGGAAAACATAGAAATTAAAATGGGAGAAGTAAAACTAAAACAATGCGAAAACATAAAATTTTCAGGTATAATTATGAATGACACATATGGAATCTTATTATGGGGTTCATCAACAGCAGCTCAGAAATTATTTGTACTGCAGAAAAAATGCCTTAGAACTTTATTGAATGAAAGTCAGAGAGAATCATGCAGACCATTATTTGCCAATCTGAAAATACTTCCTTTCTCTTGCATGTATATTCTAGAAATATCTTGCTACATTTTTAAAAATAAAAAAGCATTAGCACTCATAGTAATGATCACAGTTATTCAACTAGTTTTAACCACCGTCTAAAAACACCTCGAAATAATTTGAATGTAACTAGGGGACCTATTTCCGATGGCGTAAGAATTTACAATAAGCTCCCGGAATCAATTAAAAAGGAAACTACTGACTTCAAATTCAGAAAGCATCTCAAAACTTTTCTGTTGTCAAAAATGTTTTGTAATATTGAAGAATTTTATTCCAGCTAATTCAATATTAACTACAAATAATTTTACTAGCCTCTCTAAATAATAATATACCATTTGGAGACGAAACATCAAACTGCAGCCTTTGTGATCTATTTTGTACTAATTCAGCAAACAATTTTAAAACAGGCGTCGTCACCTGAGGATCGTGATACCACAGTTCTATAGCCTGAAGCAATATAGGAGTATAATTCGGGTATCTAAAGAAAGTTAAGGAAAGATCACAAGAAGAATAAAATTGCTCATTCAGTTGACTAAAAAAGGATACATCCAATCAAAAAGCATCATGTACGAAGTTTTTGTATTGAAAGAGAAGGCCAAGCCCCTCAAATCCCTCGCTAATCCTATCAGCGCTTTCTTTGCCTCGTCTGAAGCGAATACGGGTGTATCGGAAGATGCTAGTAGCGTTCCTATACTTTCAAAAGATGCTGAAATTCAAACATATCGTTTCATTCAAAATACAACTCCAATATTAAGTTTACTAACCTGTCAGCGGTAGCATAAAATTATGAAACCGGTCCTCGTCCTCTCCTAAATCCACCATCAATAACCTTCCGAGTGAGGTATAGAACATTGAACGACACCTCATCTCTGTGATGGCAACGGAGTTTCCTAGAAACGGAAAATGTTCGCTGGTATGATTGTTCAGCATAAACTGCACCTCATCGAGTTTAACCAGTTTCCTAACGCAGCTATACCCAACTGATAAATCATTCATCAACTGTAAAGTCTTGCTTATGATTTGTTCGCTGCTACCCCAATATTTGAGGTTAGTTATACTGAAAACAAAAACGTGTCCATCAGCTCATTCATAACTGAATTTGAACCAAAATCATAGTATATTACAACAACTACTCACATTTTCCTAACAAAGACACTGAGCACCGTAGCTTCATCATTGAGGCCCAAAGCCTCGGATAATCGCCTGTAGACTTTAGAGTTTTTCTGAACCTGATCGCCTACGTAAATTTTTCGAAATTGTTCAAAGAAACTGAGCATAGCCAGTTCGAGTTTTTCACAGCCACTTTGTACTAGTCTTGAATCTGTAAGATTCATTAATTGTAACACTCGACACACCAACTCTCCGTCCATCGTATCATGCTCTTCGTTACTGTTAAAAGACACCCTTCCTCCTATTGCCGAACCTATTATGTAGACGAGCCACGTCAACTGACCTGAAATAGTACAGAAAGATTAATGAAATTTGAAGATTCAATTTAGAAAAACATAAGCCAGCCACATCATACATCTAAAAGATATCAAAATGAGCACCGGCGATACTGTAATTTTCTTTAGGTCGTTATTACGCTGTTAGTTGGCAACACCACAATACTTACATGGGGAATTCCCATAAAAGACCTCTAAAACAACGCATTTTAAACTTATCATTTCAACCTTTTTCTTAAAAAAAATATTTAAATACTTCAAAGGGAGGAATGCGTTAATGCATTCAACATTTAAAGGGATTCGTTTCTATTTCACCATTTGGCAACATCGGTTATAGCTAATAAAAGACAATGAATCTGTTACCTGTATGAGACAAACAAAGAAGACATATTTCAAAGGCGTGCTGTTCTGTTTACTTACGTTCCGAGACATTTTGTAACATATGATATTTTGNTTTTGGAGTATATGTTTAACGCCGTTCACCAAATGGGCCAAAAATTTTGCTCTCTCTGTATTACTGAATAATGAACGCCTCACAGAAGCAATTTGCACCAAGCAGGACAAGGCCAGCGAGGACAGAGTATTGGGTAGCGAATGGAACATATCAAAAAACAGCTTGAGTGTGGTGAAGTCTAAAAACGCTGGTCGCCAACTCGTGGGTATCTGAACTGTGCATAAATCATCAGAGGATTCGTCTTGGGAAGTTACATATCATAATACTACCATGCAGTTAAGAGATTGTTTTTAAATTTGCTGAGAGATATACCAGTTACTTCCAATTTTCTTTCATTAACAAGTCGAACTGTACGATCAACAGGGTTATGTAAACCATAATTTGTAGAATGAAACCGTAAGTGAAACAAATCGCTGGACCTTAGAATTCTGTTTGGGACATTAAAATTAATATTTTCTAGAATTTCAGGAGCAACAATTAAGCCATTCAGTAACTTGTATATGAAATTTAGATCAAAGTTTTCCCTCCTCAACAGATTTTCTCAACAGATTGAGATTAAGGATTTCTAAAATGTTGCTATAATCATGGTCAATAACAGGTATACTCAATATACTATATATATACAATTAATCAATATAAAAAATATCTGCAAATCTACATGTAAGCCTTGACTTTCTTACCTTCCTGTATAGTGATCTCCATTTGCTGACTGGGACTGGCAAGAAGCTCCGAATATCTTCGCACAGCTTGATCAAATAGCTGCACGAGGAGCACGCACGTTTTCGGGTACTCGCATCTGCCTATCACAGATAATTGCTCCAGCTGCTGCTGAACCATGCCCAAATCGTCCAATGGATCTTCTAGACCTTCTCTCACTACAACTGGAACGGATTCCAGGCGAGAGGTTATGTAAGCGTTGGTTACTTCAGGAGTGTACGTTTCCAGCAAGTGAGGTTCGCTTGCTTTCACATACGGTACGGAGGCTACCATTCTCTGCCAAAGGCTGAGAAGGTAGTGAACGCTGTTTGGAGCGAACTGCCACAACTGAAAGAGGAAACTTTGAATTTTCAAAACCGTTCTTCCGCTAACAGATTTAATTCCATCATATATCTTAAGTACAGAAAGGAAATAAAGACGATTTATCATTATTATTATACATTATTTATATAATGTAGAACAAGATAAATATTTTTTCCTTCAGAAAATGTAAACTTACCCGCAAACTCTGAACAGTGAATTTTGCAATCAGCTGTATTGCTTCAGGGTAATTTTCAACCATAACCAACTCTCCCAGTTGATAATTAGATTTGAGCCGTGCCAGAAGTCTGCAAAATTCATGATAATTCGCAGAATCACTCAAGCCTTGCGGATTTTGGAGTATATGTTTAACGCCGTTCACCAAATGGGCCAAAAATTTTGCTCTCTCTGTATTACTGAATAATGAACGCCTCACAGAAGCAATTTGCACCAAGCAGGACAAGGCCAGCGAGGACAGAGTATTGGGTAGCGAATGGAACATATCAAAAAACAGCTTGAGTGTGGTGAAGTCTAAAAACGCTGGTCGCCAACTCGTGGGTATCTGAACTGTGCATAAATCATCAGAGGATTCGTCTTGGGAAGTTCCAATAAAATCAAAAGTAAGGCAATTCTGGGCCAAACGTAGAAGTTGGGTCATCAATCCGTGCTGGCTTTCATCATTGAAATTCAAGTTTTTGCAATTTTCTCTGGCATTTCCAAGAAGGGTGCATGAAAGGCGAAAAATTTCGAATAGCTGAGTATCTCTGAAAGAGGAGGCAATTTTACGGTGCTTAGCGAGAGCTCTATTGGCATCTACTTCTGATATTTGGTTCATTTCACAAGTTAATTGAGAAAGCAGCTGGACTCCTATCATACAATGTTCTACAGAACCCTTGAAAAGAAATACGTAAGTTATTTTCATCTGAATTAGAGGAGCAGGTCACTTTTTAAAACTTACTTGTAAGAATTTTCCAGTATCAGCCACAACATTCCTGAACACAAACTCGTCTTTATGGCTATCAAACCAGCCTAGCTTTGTAATTCTTGCAAACAACGTGACTAAGGCTTGTAGTACAAAATTTGGCAATTTAGGTCTAGTTGCCAAATAATTCAAGATATAATTACGTATATCTACTCTCTGCTGCAGACTTAACGCTTGGGCACTACGAGACACCAATTTGGTGAGAGTGGTGGCTGCCAATAACTGTGCATAGCAAGAATCTCCTCTATCGAGTAGAACTTGACAGTTGGTAAGGGCATCAGGGCCATCTTGAAAGACCACTAACGCTTTCTCTGCTTCTGCTCTGGCAGCAGTATCTTGAGATTCATATAACTGTTTGCATAAAAGTTCTATTTGTCTTATCTCCTGCAACAAACAATTTTGTATTATATACCTAAAAAACTCAATGTATTTCTCAAGTACTGTCATCAATATCGGAGGTATTTCTTACGACACTTAAGGAAAAAATACCAAAAACACATGATGAAAGCTAATGAATTTCAGAGATAGGGCATGTTGAGAGTCAGAATGAAAATGTACAAATATTTCAGAAAATATTGGAAATTGAAAGGTGTTACAAATACAAAGTAAAGTATTTATTGGTTCTTCATTAGATAATACAAAATGTGATATGATACCATATCAAATCAAATTATTCATCACAAAAAAATACATCAAAGACAGATGCATCTTTATCGGACTAGTCAGAAAAATGGAAGTTAATATACATTTCAGATGATTAACACAATTAAAATACAAGTGAAATTAAAGTTATAATTAAAATTAGTGAGTCAAAATTTCAAGAATTAATATGAGTAAGTCACAAATTTGAAAATTAATATTAAAAAACAAAACACATTTGAAAAGTTAAGAAACAAAAATACATTTGCGAAAGTTGAGAAACTCTTTTATACTATAAAATATTTGTTCTGTCAGAAAACTCTCGAGTTTAATGCTAAACGACATGTTAGACATATTACAGGTATCTCGTTTAAGCTAACAGATACATTGGTATTCATTATTCTGGCAGATTTGTAATCGTGAGTAACTTTGGTGCAGACTTCCTTTCATTCGTGTGTTATGCCAGTGCAAGTCCCCATTTTTCTTGAACCTGTTTTCATTTTCTTTAATATATGTAATTATTTGAAATATGTATGAACAAGTCCATAATATTGTAATTCAAGTACATTGAAAGAAACGGAGTCTCTGAGCTGCCTTATCATGTAACAACATGTGCTTAGTCTACTGAAATATCTATTAGAAAGTTGAATATATTCTTGATTTGATCATAGTAAAAGTATAGTATGCTACTTGGGCAGATAATCTATTCCACTGATTACGGCGCTGGCATTTGCTCGTGCCACAACTTATACACATCTTATGAAATAGCTAACTCACTGCACTTGTTGCACAATATATTATTTGCATATCATGAGATACAGTATTATATAATGAAAGTATGATGTCTTGTGTGATGAAAGAGAATGATTTTCAAGATACATATGGATTTCTTTAAAATGATTAGTAACTCATGAGCTCCATATCGTGTATTATGTTCATGTTGAGATGCATTTTTGGCATTATACATTTGAAATGTAAATATTAGTGTCTTGTGTTTTATACTGCTATGCCAATTGACTATTTTATTCCTAGTGAAGTGATATTTCAGATTTATCCATAATTGCCAAGATCCATATTGCTTTGTTTTCATTGAAGAAATCTGTTAAAAACACTTTTATTTCTTTGAGAAACTTCAGAAACTTCTTGTATGAGGGTTGCAAAGGTTAATAAAAATTTTTTTGATTGATTTTCAAAGACAACATTAATGCAACAGTCATAACTAACATGAATTGTTACAACTCAAAAATGTGACTCAAGACTAGTACATGAATTCACCTTCAGTATATTATAATTCCCGAGTTGAAAATTCCTCTACATTATAACCATAATCTAGAAATTTTCTAATAATGAATGACTTTCAATTTCATAATTGAATTTTCTATATAATGTATTCATTGTTTATTGTGTAACTTTTGAATACTTAGCCACAAATAAAAGGACCATCTTCTGAATAAATTTCAAATATCTATATGATCGTTGCCTCTCTGAATAAGATAGCACAATGATAATCTGATAAAGGATGTTAGTGTGAGTACTTCAAAAACTGGTAATTACACTTTGTTATGAGAATTTTGTCAGACATTTTCTAAGAGAAGATACAATTATTGTATTTCCCGAAAACATAAACACACCTGCTCATCAGCCATTTTCAGCTGGGTTCATTTGTTTTCAGTGAATTTTATGTTTACAAAAAGCAGAACGGCTGCAAGGACTAGGGAAGCCGGATATTTGTCTATCACCTCACTCGCACAACACAGCACTCACTTCCACTCAAATTTACTCAAAAACACACCAGTTTCTTTTTTCTACGAATTGACATTGACTTTTCAGATGTCACTCGGATCTGTGTCTTAGGGAGACATGATTTATGGACCAAATGCACTGAGCTTCAGCAAGTTGTAGGCGTATTCGGGCATAGTATAAAGATAATATCTTTATAATATGATTCGGGTTCGTAGTTTCAACAATTCTAAATCGGTTCAGAATAGTTACTCAGCTGATTATTGAAAGCAGACTCTCGAAAAACTTTTCAACTGTGCGACTACATTTGATTGGACCAAATGCACTGAGCTTCACCAAGTTGTAGGCGTATTCGGGCATAGTATAAAGATAATAACTTTATAATATGATTCGGGTTCGTAGTTTCAACAATTCTAAATCGGTTCAGAATAGTTACTCAGCTGATTATTGAGAGCAGACTCTCGAAAAACTTTTCAACTGTGCGACTACATTTGAATAACCGTTCAAATAGCGAACAGAATAATGGCTATTGAACATTTGAAAAAACAGATCGAAGATTATAAGCTTCGAAAGGATAGCTCAGTTTGGTCAAAGAACATATAAGTAATGGTACATATGAACTCTATTCCCTTTGACACCCGATTGAGCGAGCAGTGCAGCGCCAGGTCTTCTGTCATTAACAGATTATTCTTAGAAATACATTTCAAAACTTCAAAACTAATGGTATAGGGATTATTTGAAATTTAGCAATTACTACACTATAAACAGAATTTGGCTAACACAAAAAGAGCTAACTTGTTCATTTTGAAGGTATATCAGTCGTTATTCTCGTTTCTTAAAAGTTGTTAAGACTCTTATATAGTTATCTCCTGATGTTGCAGGTTAGCGAAACGCGCATCAAGAAGCAATATTTTTGTCCTGGTTTGAGAAAAGAGTTTTTAATACATTCATTTTACGCCAGAGATTCCACATTTCACTTAAAAAGTCAGATTCATTTACACATGGTGTTTTGTATCATCCAGAAGAGGTGCTCATACTGAACCATTACTTAAAACCAAATTGAGAGAAATGATATCAAATTATATTATTGTTTTCAATTGCCGGACAGTAACGCATTTGTGGTTTAGTCTAGCACCACTAATGAGGCCTATGGTGGGTCGGAACAGCGCTACTAGGTGTTGAATCATAAATACGTTTTGTTTGGGCTCTGGTTTTCATGTAGTGTTTAAAGTTTTCAAAAGTAATGGTATTTATATTGATATGATTATGAAATAATACTAATAAAATGTATTGTTCCATAACAATGTGGAATGTTTGTAGTTTTCAGACATATTCTCAATCTACGAAATACTCTCGAAGTGATGTTCTCATAAGTACATTCAAATACATTTTGAATATTCCTTACTTTTCTGCTTCTCTTAGCTTTTCACTAAATATTTCTATTGGCTTACCCGTCGACATAATCTTATATAGGTTATGTCGGTGGGCTTACCTGATAAAAAGGAAGGAACAATTAAGAACTTTTCTCTATTATCTCAAGGTCACGTCATAGAATTACTTTCAGAATGTACTCATTTGGCAACGATTATGGACATGTCCATAACTAATGTTTCTGTGACCTATGTGTCCGAGGTGTTCAAATGTCATTTTAACTGTAAATTCAAATGATCCCAAATTCATCAGATATATAATTTGATTTCATCTCGGCAGGTTTTTAGGCTAACCTTTTAATAATTTCAACCAAACTAGCTTCCTTTTACAATGTTCAAGTTCACTAACTACTCGACGAAACTATTAGTTGACAGTTATCACCTCGAATTTCTCAAAAAGTTCGTGGTTCTGATTCTGTTCCGTGTTGAGTATCTCTTCTTAAGGTATTTTGTGTTCGGATATCTAAACCCCCATTTTTGTTGAATACCAGAACTTTGATCAGAAAATATAGATGGCACTGAAAATGAAATCATCGTAAAAAACCTGCCCTCTTTTGGCAGGAAGATTGAGCATTAAATATATACATGTATAATTTGTTTTTTCTATGTTGAAAATATTAGAAATTCATGTTTTCTCCGCATAAAATGAACTATTCAAACTTCATTTATCGAGTTCAATATATTAATTACCTATACCAGTTTTTCGAAATATAATAAATAAGATTAGATATAATATTTCAGCATAAGTAATAATTAATATTCCTGCTGGTGATATTGGATGAAAAAATTGTATGTTCATAACTTTCTACTACCCCTGTATCTGCTACAGACTACCCTGCAGCATCCATTTTGATGACGCAAATCAGAGATGGGATAAAAATCAATACTTATAAAGATGTAGGGAAGATTGTATAGTAAATTAGTCAGGGTGAGATATTTATAGTAAAATGCTTAAACTTAGAGTTAGAAGAAGAGCTATAGATTGCTACAAGCAACAAATATGTTGAACACAAATCGCAATTTATTATTTAAAGCTATTATACTAGCATTATGTGTTATATCATTCGTACATGTTTTTTTATTTCCCTTATACGATATACAAACCGAAAGGGGACCTGCAAAAACCTACACGGACTTCGAACAGTCACTCTGCATGAGCAACATCAAGAAGAAAAGAATATGGAGAATGGGACGCTGTCCGCAGTATGGGATAGTAACAATAATGCAAGGAGGGCGGCTGGGCAATCAGATGTGGGAATACGCCTCCGTGTGGGCCCTAGCTAGAAGAACAGGCCTAGAACCATACATCCCAAGGTGTATCAAAATCAAACTAGACCTTGTGTTTGAACAACTATCAGTACCAACATTTGAAGAAATAGGGCATTGTCCTGTGCAAATCAATCATTTCGTTAAGTCCTTAGAAACATGGAACTTCACAAATCAGAGCATCATTTTACCAAGATATTCCATACAACCTGATCTAGTATTAACATGGGTCCAAGATATCGTTCAAGAATTTACTATAAAGAGAAAACTACTAGATAAAAGTCAACAAATACTACACAGAGCTATCAAAACTTCAAACAAGTTAAATCACATTTTTGTAGGTGTTCATGTGAGAAGGACTGATTATATTGGATATTTAAAAAGAAAACACAATATTCATCCTGCTGACTATAACTTTTTCATATCTGCGATGAAGACTTTTGAGAAAAAATACAGCAATTGCATTTTTGTTATGGTAAGTGATGATCCTCTTTGGTGCTGGAAGAATTTCGGTTTCAAATCCAACGTGTATGTTAGTGGAAGAAGGCAGAAAAATTCGCCAGCACTAGATATGGCGATTTTAGCATCATGCAACCACACTATTTATGACTACGGCACTTTTGGTGAGTGGGGTGCTATTCTAGCTGGAGGAGAGACCATCTACTACAATCTTAGCCACCATTCTTCTGCCAGAATTGGACAACTTATGAAAAACTGGCATACCATATAACTCAACGAAAATCATTCAAAAGGCTGACTTTTACTAAAAAAGATTCATGATTTATTTTTCTATTGAACAAAAATTCTGGTACCTAATACTATAGATTATTTTTGCAACAAATTCTGCTGAAAATTGAGCATTCAACAAATATTTATCCTTTGAAAATGTGCCAAATTGAAATGACTGTGAATTTATTTTCATATAACACGTTATATAGAGATTTCTGTATGTATTTTCGGGCAGTATGGAAATGGGGCAATTGTAGCAAAAGAGAAATTCCTAACAATTTGACTTTATTTCCAAAAATGGAGTTCAAAACTCATTTCTTTCTACGTCATTATTAAAAAAAAGACGACTCTGTAGTTTGACTATTTCCATAAAGCCCCGTGTATAGCTGTATATATGTCTATACCTAAATATCCTAAATATATTTTATCTAATCTTGTCTTTATTATTAATTTTCATTCTCTAATGTGGAATGAAAATGTTCATTTTATGTAACTTTCTAAGAGAAATCTATATATTGTTAATTTTGTACTAATAGTATGTGCCAAATTTACTGTGCTTCGATACTATACAACTGTGATCTACTTTTATTTACTGTAAATTGTTTTTTCATAAATAAAATATGAATAGATTGTTTTCTGTTTGGGATTTTTTATTTTTCCATCCCATCCCAACTTCGAATTTAATCAAAAATTCCATATACCTACTACAATGGTGGTAATAAGTTGTTCAATTACTTACCACAAGAAATGAGATCTGCAAATCTAAGCAACATTCATTTCAAAAAGGCGGTGAAGAACCTACTTGTTGATAGACCCTATTATAGTTTGGAAGAGTATTTCAGCGAATCCTTTTAACGATATATTAGCAATTTATTCTTTGTATTATCACTTTATACATGGTGTTTCATGTCTATACATTCTCAAGAACCTAGGACACCAGACAATTAAACATTTTTTATTTCTTGCTAACTTACATATTTTGTGGAGGACGAATGTTGGTGATTATTTCGTAGAAACCGTGAATGTAGTTCAAAAATAGATCATAAAACTAATATTTGGCAAAATACTTGAGTGTGCTAGTGATCTCTCATATATCACGGATGTTAGACAACTTTTCTGTACGACAATAAGATTATTTATGAAACTTTGGGCATTAGAAAGCTGTCGGCGCGATAAGTGCCGCGTTTGCTCACTCCGGACAATAAGCGCAAAATTTTGACCCAAAAAGTTGATACAGGCGAATTTATTTTCCATTTTCTTATCCAAACTGTTTGAAAAAGTAGAGTTTTCAAAAAACAAAGATTCATATGAAAAAAGTCCCTGATTGCGACTACATTAAACTTCAAAGAGACCTTTAACAAACGTGTTCAAGAAATCATAAATCGATGCTGAATCATTGTGAAATGCGGTGAAAACAGAGATTGTTTCCAAATTATGTAAAAGACTAGCAACAGGATCTCATGTAGTGAGAGTTGTTGCTAGAGAGTTAGATACTACTATTACAAGATCAGTTTACTTTGCACAAACTGAGTCCTATTTACGTTATGGAATTTATTTCTGGGGAAATTGTGCACAATTTCGTTTCAATAAGGTATTCTCTCTACAAAAAGGATCTATCAGATATTTATGCAAGGCTAGTTACAGGGATTCATGCCGCCCATTATTTGTGAAGCAAAAAAATCTGACCTAAGCATGTCTTTTTATTTTGGAAACACTGTGTCTTATCCACAAAAAATATAAAAATCAATTTAATACCACCTCAACTTATAGTATACATCAGTCTTACTTCATTTCCCTTCCAACACCTAATCTAGCCCTTACACAAAATTCTATTATTTTCAATAGCAAGAAGTTATTTAACCACCTTCCCATTCATTTAAGGCGAATATATAATGAAAAGAAATTCAGAAAGAAAGTTAAAGAATACCTTGTTGGGAGGCCCTATTATAGTGTGGACGAATTTTATCAAGGCTCTATCGAATAATAGGCATGTAGCTTTGTGTAAACAAATTATTGAAATCAACACGAAATGGCTATCAATGTTCATTATTGGAAACAGTGTGTCTTATCCACAAAAAATATAAAAATCAATTTAATACCACCTCAACTTATAGTACACGTCAGTCTTACTTCATTTTCCTTTCAACAGCCACTCTAGCCCTTACACAAAATTCTATTATTTTCAATAGCAAGAAATTATTTAACCACCTTCCCATTTATTTAAGGCGAATATATAATGAAAAGAAATTCAGAAAGAAAGTAAAAGTATTCCTTGTTGGGAGGCTCTATTATAGTGTGTACGAATTCTACCAAGGATCTATCGAATAATAGGCATGTAGCTTTGTGTAAACAAATTATTGAAATCAACACGAAATGGCTATCAATGTTCATTACGTGGCATTATATATTTACTCAATATTCACGTACTTATATTTGTATCTATTCAGCTGGGCTTAATACTGTTCTGTACGTTCAGATCTTGGGTAATAAAGCATATTTTGATTTGAATTGCCTTTCCAGGGAAAACTTTTGTATGAAAATATGAGGAGACTTAGGTACTTTTCTTTGTACTTCATGACGACATCATAATGGAGTATAAATTCACAGCTTTTCAAAAAAATGTTTGAACTTTTTCTTTGTTAATGAAAACATGACGAATTCGATGATTTTTTCGTACTATTCGACATAGGTTTGCAATTTCGTTCCGGAGATTTTGGCCTTGAATATGAGCCCCGAAGCGGTCGACCTACATTAATCCAAGACAAGGTTTTAAAGACCCTGGTGAAGACTGAACCGTCACAAATGGTGCGTGGGATGGCGAAAAAAATGGGCTTCGGCTCACTTTGATGGTTTAAAACGTATTATAAATGTCAGAAAGATCAAAAAGTGGGTGCCCCACAATTTGAACGATCAACAGAAGCTGTAACGTTTCGAGTTCTGTTTTTCTCTGCCTTTGCGCAACCAAAACGATTTTTTTTTGGATCGGATCCACCTAAGCATTTCCCAAAGACGAAATTCCACTAAAAAAGACTACGTTTACTGTATGATGGTCAGCGGCTGGTGTGATTCATTATAACTCTCTGTAACCTGGCCAAACCATCACAGCAGAGTCCTAGTTTGAGGAAATCGACGAAATGTACCCAAAATTGCATCAGCAGCAGCCTTCACTGGTCAACAGAAGACGTCCGAACCTGCTCCACGACAACGCCCGTCAGCACGTTTCACAAATCACATTCTGAAAATTAAGTGAATTGAGCATTGAAGTTCTGCCTCACCCACCATACTCCCCAGACCTTTCGCCAACTGACTACAATCTTTCCAAGCACTCCGATAACTTTCTCATCGGTAGAACCTTCGCTAATCGAAATCAGGCAAAACGGTCTTCACCGACTTCATCGAATCACGAGCACCCAATTTTTATACCAACAGAACCAATCGATTTGTGTTACCTTGTCAAAAGTGCACTAATTCAAATGGCTCTTATTTCGACTAAATTGAACAAGTATTCACCGTAATATTACAGGTCAAAGTATACTCAGAAAACTGACAAAACTTTTGAAACAATCCAATAAATATCAGCTTATAGTTTGCTTTTTCACACGACTTGCGATTTTTCATATTGGTCTGTCATTTTTCATTGTTTCGGGAATAATTTCGGGAAAAATAAAAGTTAATTCTACAACTTTGGTAGTAGTTTCAAGAGACAGAGAAAAGTACTCACCTTTATTTTATCAAATCCAGAGTTTTCAGATTATTTGGGGATAGTTACACTAATTGTACAAAATATACATTTGATTAGAATAATGAAAATGTAGTCAATGAAGAAACCACACAGGAAAAATGTATTTATATATATAAAAAACAATAAATCACAATAAGTTATCAGCAATAATTAAAATTAATCATGTATATTCTAACAAACCACACCAAGTAAATTAAGATAACTGCTTTACTATTATAAAAATTTTAAATATTCATATCACATTTTTTTCAATATTTCTGAATTCAATACTCAGTTTAGTCTTAATAAAAATTCAATTGTACGATGACAATAAATAACGCGAGAAATTATATGAACGACAAAATAACCATACTTTATACAACAATGTATGAATTATCCACACAATTATGTACATAAATGAACACATTATCATACAAAATTTTCGTCAATCTCCTGATCGAATGCTTGAAAATGACTCGGACAAGAACCTCTTGAGAGACTCTCTTCTAAAAAAGTTTTGACATAATATTCACAGATAAATATTAAATTTTTCGTATAAACTTTCCAGAAAACGAGTAACTTGTTATAATGGTCTGGTCACTGATTTCTTTTTGACTTCGTTTAATTTTTTATCACAAAAAATAATCAAGTCCACAAAATTGTTTTATTTCAAGCCTTCCGAGTGTATTCATATTTTGAATAATACTTTACAGTAACGATCGGTGTTCACATTAGTTCAAGAACAAACCTCGAATAGCAAAATCTTATAGGCTAGCAGTACTCATTAGAAAGATGAATTTTCAACGGAGTTAGGTAATACATATCAATGGAAGTTTCATTTTATTTCGAAAATTTTTGGCACAGTATGAATTTATAATCGAAACAAAAGTCAGAAAATATTATAATTGAGTTATAATTTTCATAATAATTGCATGTTTACCTGTTAAATCATCTCTGAATTACAGAATTTTAAAAATCACTCTTTCTCCTTTATTCCCAGTTATAATTTATTTGGAACTAAAAAATGGGGGGTTTTATTCAATATTTCAGGTACTATATATTCTGACTTAAATCAGAGAAGAGAATACTGGTTTTTCTATCACATAAAAAAATACATACTCATTATTTATACACTTGACATCATTATGAAACATTCAATATTAGAATCAGTATAAATCAAATAATATAACACTCAGTATTGAATTGAATAGGCTTTCAAGGTTCTCGTCCAGATTTTTCGAGAAATTGTTTCACAACTTTTCGCAAACATGTTTTGCTGGCCACACGTAGTCACTACTAGAGAAATAACAAAGTTTGGTTCCATCCTTCCCTGATGATTTTATATAATTGACAATTTAGCAAGTCAACAATTTGAATTGTCCATTATAAAATGAAAATACTCTGTGATCCTTTAGCACCTTCATAGAAACAAGTCACTAGTCATGATGAATTGACAATATCAGGAGTAGGAAAAAACAATCTGCCATTTATGACGTTTGTCAACAAAATTTTCATTTTAACATTACTCTTTCTATACTATGATCATCTCTCATGATAAGAGCCAAGACGTGTACAACCATTCACCAACTGTTTACCAAACTAAATAATATCTAGCAAAAATAGAATTCTGAAAGTTAAATAAGGATCTACTGGCGGTTAAAAGCCACTTTTATTCTGAGATATTTTTTTTGAATCCAATATAATAATGGTAATGATAGTAGTTGACTTTATTCGTCACAAGAGATAAAGGATATCTTATTTGTATTTATATTAATTGAAGAGAACCCTATGACAAAACGGTGGAGTGTCAGCTAAAGCCGTTTTTCAACTCAACCCTGTAAATTTGCTTTTGATATTTTTCTTCAAATTTTTTATTTCATTTAATAATTTTTTTTGGCATAATTATGAAGTCTATTATCATAATTGTAATGACTTTGTTAGCAAGGTGTTATAATTCAAAGACAATGAAACTATATACCATATTCATCAGTTTTAGTACTTCTAAAGACGTCAACTAATGGGTAGACAAAACTTTTATATTTTGGGAAACATCGTCGATTCTAATAAAAAATGTTTTTGTTATATACCAAAATTCAATCATCTGCTCAATTAATTAACTGATTTCTTTTGATCTGATAGAAAAAACTTGTAATCTGTGATATTACCAAGTCCCAAAATTAATTTCTTCCCAAGAAGCTTGATTCAAGTACCTCTATCACTTTGACATTTCATCGTTGAAAGAAAATCCCGTTCCATTTGAAAATTCCACCTTTCCAACTCACTGCTTCTGCTCCTGACAGCTGCATTGCTTGCGAGCCGGTGCTAGACACCTCAACGCGTGGCACATCAGGTTACAAAAATATTCCTTGAAAGTTCTGGTAGGCTGGAGCAACAACCACTGCTCTGGAAATCACCTTACTTCCGAATCCGTACTGCTCGAAAACTCCTCTGGCTTGACGATCTGGTAAGTTATGAAATACTCCGGGTAGGCTTGTTCGCCTCTGTAGACGACGTATTCGGGAAAGTTGAGACCACCAGCAGAAGGCCGACCGGCAACGGAATGGTGACCGGGCGGTGCATGCGCCATCTTCATGGCGCTAAACTGCAGGAAGGATTTTCCGAGGGTCACACGACAAAGCAAAAGGTGTCTGAAAACGAGTCATGAAAAATTTGTAAGGAAGGAATTGTAATGACTATTAATTTGTTCAGTAATTACTGTTCCTTGGTAGAAATGGAATGAAAAAATTAGTTAATTGTGGGTGTCGCGTCGCTTCGAGAATAATTCTATCGGCTTCCTAGGATTTCCATTGGCAAATATAAGCACTACCAACAGACAGATTGAGTTAGTCTAGACCATGAGCTAATAAGGCGATACACATTTGAGTATTAGTCTGAAGTTCAGTTGGCAATTTTTGTGTTGAACTGACAGTGTAGTAGTGAGTTAAAGTTGACTTTAACTGTATAGTTTGATCAATTATTGGAGAACCCACTGGGAGAACATAATATAAACTAAGTAAACCATATTTATCTAGGTTAGGTTTCATTTGTTCCAATTCATATGTTTTTTTGGGTTTTAGGCATACATTATCAATTTGTGTGTCCCAATTTAGATCCTCATCCAAATGGGTGCCTAAGAATTTAACTCCTGTCAAAGGTATGATACTGTCTATCCAAAAGTATTCACTTGGTAAGCTTATCAGAGAGAGATTAGAGAAATTTTATAAATGAGTTGCTTTTATCGTATTCAGATATTGTCATAGTTGTCATCAGCAAATAAGGTTATATGAACATCTGCCGTGTCATTGACGTATAGAAAATACAACAGAGGGGCAAGAACTGAACCCTGTTGCACATCAAGTTTCCCATTCTGACTGTCATAGGTGGTACCATCACATCTCATCATCATTGTTTAATTGTCATGTAGGATTATAATCAATTTATCAAATTATCTGGAAATCCTAATTATATAATAATAATGACCCAAAAACAATATTTTTTTTAACTACGATAAAATTAAAATAGGAATTGAATAAATTATTCTAATACTAGTTCATCAATTAGTGTATATACACATATTCACACATATATACACAAATACATACACATATACATAATTAAATTATAATAGCAGTAATAAGGAGATCAAAATTTCAATTAGGGAAAGAAAGCAGAAACTTGTTTTGATTCTAATTTGAATTTTGTTTTTGAATAATTTTCAATTTCTCTGGAAGATTATTATATATTTTAACGCCTAAATGAAATATTGTTTTTGTTACATATCGTTTTACTTTGTTTTCGTACCTTTATTCGTCATAAAGTGTGAAGAATGTGAAAAAAAAATGGTGTTTATCGTACATGTTAAAAAAATCTCCATATTTTTCAACATTTGAGTTTTTAAATATCTCTTGAACGATGTAAAATATTGAACTCAAGCAAGAGACAATATTTGTAAACAGTATGCGAAATCTGTTTTTTTTTAAGTAGTCGGTAACATCTCAATATCAGCCAGGATCTAAAGCAACATCACATTGTTAAATATCCATAGGATTTATAATAGCGTTCTTCTTAGAATTATCCAATCACTTGAATATTTACATGAAATTTAGAAATGCTCTCTATAGGCAAAATTTATAACAAGTTTTTCTAATAATTAAATAACTTCTTAACTGAATTTCATTCATTTAAAGATATTTAAACTTTTTTCTTTCAAGGAACACGAAAATCAATAACAACTGCCCTTTACCTGTGACACACGTAGCAACTCCGATCCTTATGTGTGGGACATCCTGTACCGCCACCAATCCCATACACATACTGGTTACTTTTGGAGGAATGTTCAGCGAAATATATGCCCGCTCCAAACATACCACCAATATAAGCGTGTCTCTCATCAAAACCCTTCTGAACGATAGCGTTGATAAAAGGGGAGCCATGGAAGAGCATTCTCTCGCAAGCCTGGTGACCGTTTTCTTCAGCGACTTCTTGTCTTCGATGATTGTAACGCTCCCAAAGTTTTCTGTTCTGAACTTTTTGAATCTGTAATAATGATTCCAGAAACATTACCTGAGAAAGATACTACTCCAGATTGTTTTTGTGATGTGAAATCCTGATTGGTGAAAAACGAAAACAAATGATGTATCTTCAACTTACTGTAGCATTTTTACCCTGTTATTGTTGATTAAAAATGCATCAACTTCATTAAAATGATAAAAAAAATCCACAGTGCTTACCCGAACAATGTTATATCTAGAAAAGATACCACCAGCGTGACCGTTATCCCTGTGTTCTCTGATACTGTTCTGCATTTCTTCTTCTACAGTGATGAATTCTTTGTCGTCTGTCAAGAGATCAACCAAAAGTGTTCCAGGATTTGAAGGAGTGGACCAGAGGCCACCACAACTTGCCACAAGACGTTCCATACCTAAGTGAGTAAGAGAAAATTTTCAATATTGCACGAATAAAAGTTTGTTTTATCGATTTCAACTTGTAAAAAAAATTGTTTAATGTCTAAACAGGAATAAATCCCAAAAACAAAACATATTAATATTATTAACAAGCATGTTACAGTTTATATCTGCCTATATACACACAATACACATACATACATATATACATACATACACATATACATTAATACAATACTAATTTATCAACTAGAAACACCTGAAGTGAGTTGACAAAAAATTGGAACACTTGTTTGTGTACAGCAAGCTAGGAGAGTAATTCAAAAAAAACCTTAAGTCAGATATAGAGCTAACAAGTAAAAACATAGTTCAGGTGTATTACAAAAAGAAAACATAATTCAGCAGTAATACAGTAGTAGTAATAAGCTCACATGGTAGAATAACTTTCAATTTGGGCTCATTTATTTTGACTAGAGTGTAAAAGTTTCTTAACGTGGTTCTTAACTTGACCAATAGGTTCATAATGAGGGGCACCACTGGTTGCAATAAATTGGAACGACTTGTGACCCCTATAATCTACGAATAGGATACGTTCAGTTAAGTATGAGCGGAAAAGGTTCGAAAGTTGGGAGTCGACAGTATCTACTTGTAGGTTATTATTAAGTGCATTACTTACTGATTGTGAGAAGCACATTAAGTTAGTTATTGTTGATCTTTTGCTAAAGAAACCGTGTTGATTGTTTGAAATTAAATTTTTAACATCAGGAAAGATTCTGTTTTTCAAGCAGCACATCTCAAAAGCCTTTGCAAAGTTTGATAACAAGGTTATAGGTCGGTAGTTTTGGATATTGTTTAGAGCACCAGCTTCGAAAATTGGGCAAATTTTTATATTCTCCATTTGTTAGGAAAGCATCCTGTACTCGGTGCTAGACTGAAGATTGTCCTAGAATAGAATACTAGGAATTCTTGATGTACCTTTCTTATTTTGAATGTACGACCAGAAATTGGTAGGATTTTCTTTGATTGCCCTTTCAGATTTATTTTCATATTCTCTGTATGCTAAATTGATTTTTGTTTTGATGGATCCACTTGTAATAAAATGGCATGAAAAGGTTTTTGAGATTTTCAAAAAATGGAGGGTTGACAAAAACATATTTTTTTCGGAAAAGATGCTTTTGTGTTGGCAAAAATATGATTTTTGCAGTTTGTATTTTTTAAATTAAAATCGTTGTGAGAGCTACCAGAATTGCCTCCGCGAGCTTCCGGTAGCTCGCGATCGACAGGTTGGCGACCACTGCTCTATACAATAGCTTTGATGGGCGTGTATGAACAAGCTATTGTATAGTGCATTTTTATTTGAAATTTTCAATCTGTTGAAGAATTTCGGTCCTAGATATAGCATACTTTTGGAAAAGGGTAACCCAGTGTGGTCCAGATACCAACAAACATACCTCTAACGGAGTATGGGTATTCTTAGTATATTTGTTTTTTCAATTTATATGATACATTGTCCCTACTATAAACATGTAATGTTTCTTGGGATTAATAAATTTATTATAATTACCTTTGATCAGTTTATGCCTGAATCCATATGCAGAAATACCGATTTGCTTGAGATCTTCATGAGACATCTCCGCCAAAATATCCAAGGTGATCTGCTCTCTCTCGAAAATATCCAGCAAGTGCTCAAGATTGAGACTCGCCAGAAAGTTCGATATGGAACAAATAGCGGCCACCTCTCCGTCTCCGCCACCTTCCATTTTAACGGAAGACGAACAGCAACCGTCAGCTGAACTCATCGAGACACTATTCCTGCTGCCTATCGGAATCAGGAGTTGCACAGAAGTGCCGGAAGGCATTATCACTGTTTCCGTATTCGTGGACGGGATAGGAGGACTAGGGGTGTGTGAGAGAGCTATCGATGGAGGGCGGGATGAAGGAGCTGAAGTTGTTGGGACGCCTTGCTGGGAGGCCATGGCATCTTGGAGTAGACATCGGACGTCGTCGGCAGTCGCTAAGTCGACCGGCGTCTGTCCCTCTTGATTTTTCAAGAAGGGGTCGGCACCATGGGCCAACTGAAACATGACTTTGTTGCTTAATAGAATAAGCAAAGTAATAATTGAGTGCCGTAAAAGTGTACATGAAAAGAAACCCCTTGGTACTGCTATTTTCATTGAAATCGTTGAAAAGACTTATGAATTATTAATAAAAGAGCAATATTTTCAATATTTTTTCGAGTAACAACTCGTTACTCGAAAAAAAAAACAATTAGGAAACACGTTTGTATGAACTATTTCTCATAAAATATTGAAATTAATGACACCATTTTAGAAACACCCTGTATATCACTAAAGGATTCCATCTGTAATGGAATTAGAATTTACAACAAATTACCTGCGAAATACTTGAATTATATTTATTAAATGAACCCTTTGTATACCATGGAGAAATTTTTATAATAGCATATCTATTTGTGCTTATTTTTATTTTTATATGAGTATAATGGCATGTCGTTCTTATATTTTAACTTTGAACTTAACACATTATGCGGTGTTTGAAATCAATAAAACCTGTTATTATTAAATGTGAACATTAATATTTTCAGGATTATTTGATGCTGATAAAAACAATTTGCAAGGAGAGAGCTAATCAGACCTATACTATTGCAAAAAAATAAATCTTGTGGATTATTAAATTGAAGTAAAATACAATTTATGGTCATTAACAAAAAGTTAGTAATGATTAAGAAAATGTTAAGATTAGCAGAGAAATATATTGGAAATTTCCTGTCTGAACAGTTTTTAAGTACTCATTCATTATAATCTATTAACTGCATATTTATTACACTGACATGTTCTACGCTCATCTGGGTCTGAATGCATGCAGCATCTTGAGGAGATGATCGTTAATTCAATATTGAGCAGATTCACCTATATTTTATTCAGAGCCGCATACATTCAGTTTAGTTTTCACGTGCAGAAATAAAAACTCACCAGCAGCGCACACAGTTGGGTACGTCCTTTCTGTGCAGCTTCATGTAGTGGCGTGAAGCCCCATTTGTCAGTCGCGTTAACGACAGTATTATACTTTATCAACAGTGCTGCAATGTCCAGGTGACCATAACTCGAAGCATTATGCAACGGTATCAATCCACCTTTGTCTTGAGCATTTACGTCTGCTCCGTTTTCCAGAAGGAACTCGGCCACTTCTACGTTATTATACCCGGCTGAAAAATTGACCACAATTAATATATCAACTTTCATAAAATTAAATTTTCTCTATTTTACCTGCTAGATGCAACGGAGTGGAATTTCTACCTTGAGCATCCCTGCAGTTGATATTTTCTACAGATACCAGTCTTTGAACTCTCGCTAAATTGCCTTTCTTCGCAGCATCTAACAGAGCGGCATTACCCCTCAGCAAGTCTGCAACGTCTTGATCCCCTTCCCTTACCAGATCTAGAGGGGTGGCTCCATCTCGATTTTTCTTGCTCGGATCCGCCCCATGCTGAAATGAAAGTACGTCAGAAAAGTGTCACAGAGAACCTTGGCTGATCATTTCATTACAAAATGGAAAAAGAAATATATTTTTAGATCTGCGCAAAACCTACAAGAGATAAGAAAATCGAATTCAAAGCAAAAAGAGAATACACATTATTTGTTCATAATGTAACATTCAAAGTCAAAAAATGAATTTTGAGAAATCAGATTATGGAAAAATTCAGGAATTTATTTCCAGGAAAAGATATAACAATTAAAAATTATATTGTAAATGCGATCACATTCAGCACCCAATATATTTCAATAGAATTAAGATAAACTGACCTACTGTTATACTTATTACATATTACATTGATCTACTTTTATAATTATTACATATTAATGACATTATATATCAATATCCAGCCATAACTACAACATAACATGGTGTCATGAGTCAAAGGTCTACAGAGTTCAAACTTCTCATCACCCAACAACTCTCCAATACTCTTGCCTTGGGAGGCCAGATAGATATAGTTGATTTCTCAAAGGGTTTTAATAGGATAGATTCTGGAATTTTGTAGGAGAAGCTGAGCCATTTTACTTTATCCGGAGATATCATCCAGTTCTTCAAATAATATGTTTCAGGTTTAAATCAGTTCGTTTTTTATAATGACCAATCCACATGTCTCAACTCCTGGAGTCCCTCAAGGCTCCAATCCAACACCTTTACTTTTGTATTATTTGTGAATGATTTAGCTGAAATACACAGAGCCCCAAGGCAACGCATCTGTTATCCAACACTAGACAGCGCTGTTGCAACCCGCCATAGCTGTCTTCAATGGTGCTAGGCTGAACCACAAATGCATTGCTGGACTCAACTGTCCTTGAAGAGCAAGTCTGAGTAAACAAGGACGATGATATATCCCATTACGAAGACGCCATCTATGATCTGCGATAGAAAACTCGATCCTCGAATATCGAAGATAAACGAGTCTCCCCAAGACAGTCAGTTGCAAAACGAAGCTTCGACATAACCTCTGACGAGATTCGTCCTCTGTCTTGTCCTGCAAGGTAACTAGTTGAGATAAACAGAGCCTCAACACAACCCATTTATGATATGATGTTTCGAGTCACCATAATTCTCATCAGTGGTGCTAGGCTGAATCACAAATAAGTTACTGTACTTAAAGGACAAGCCTGAATAAACAAAGGTAATGACATTTCCGCTCACGCCATCTATGAGATATATAAGGAACTCAATCCTCGAATATCGAAGATAAATGATTAGTTGATGACTTAGATACTACAACACTGCTATATGCAGATGATTTGAAACTTTATTTAACAATATTGCACTTAACTGATTGTTAGCAACTTGAAAATAACCTGAATGTAGTACACGGTTGATGCTTGGCTAATAATTTATCTCAATGTAAAACTGTACCATATACAAATAATACACGATCTCGGAGAATACAATACTAGCCCACCTTTTACCCCCGCGGCTCGCGCCCCAGTTTTTTTGACTGACAACTCAACTTCGTTTTTGTCGGCCACAGTAATTGCAGTGTCATCCGCAAACATGGTTATGTGACACTCAGAAAAGAGTGTTTGTTCAGAAGAACAGTATGGTCAACAACTTCAAATACGTTTCTTATATATCAATGAACACTGATGATGTGAAAATGGTGTGAAAATATAATACTATTTTCCATTATACTCAAAATATTGGATTCATTTTGTAAGTGCTCTCTCATATACACATTGAATTCCGATTGTTAAGCAAAATCACAGTAATGATCAAATAAGTGTTTGTATGTTATATCTCTTTCAACTGATTTATAACACATTACCACATATTTATCCAGTAATGAAACTGAATTATTGAGAAAAATGCACCAACCTTTAGCAACAATTTAACAATTTCATATTTTCCCTTGGCAGCAGCTTCGTGTAAAGGAGTAAATTTCCATAAGTCTGCTACATTTACAGTTGCACCATGTTTAACCAGCAATTCAGTCACTTCATAGTGTCCATAGGAACAAGCGTTGTGAAGAGGAACTAAACCCCTAAAAATAGAAAATTCATATTTGTAGACCATACTCAACAGAAGTTTAACCACAGTTTTATTTAGGAAATGCAATATGTCGTTTGAGTTAGAAATGCCTACCCTTTATCTTTGGCGTGAACGTCCGCACCCTGTTGCAGCAAAAACTCCACTACAGATACCCTGTTGTAACCCGAAGCAAAATGTAATGGGGTTGAATGCCTTCCGTCTAGATCCCTGCAATTGACGATGTGAGGAAATGATCCGAGTAACCTTTGAACTTGTTCCAAATCTCCCGATTTGGCTGCTTCGAGAATTTGACATTCGACATCTGCACTACCTGTGGGAGGATCTAAAAATGCACCAAGTCAAAATCTCTTTAATATTGAAGAAAATTTAGGAATTGAAGAATCATCTTTTTCATTTCACTGATTGAGAATATAATAAATAAATTATAATTCGGGTTATACAAATATATAGAAGAGTATTTTGCTGACAGACTTTCGAGTTTTTTGACGATTGACGAATCAAGCTGACTCTGAAATAATAATAATAATTATTATTATTATTNTACAACGATTTTACTTTTGCTGTAAATGGTTTATCATTTTTATTTTAAACTGTTGCAGAGTTTCTGATTTCTTTATATCATCTGGCAAACTGTTGTAAGCAATGAATCCCTTGAACACCAAAGTTTTAATATTGTAAGCTTTTGTTTGCCTAGTCACATGTAAGTTATGTTTACTTCTCGTATCATGCTGGTGAACTTGCGTATTTATAGTTATATATTTGTGAAAATATGATGGAAGAAGATTATGCAACATTTTGAAGATATAACTCATAGTTAAATAAATAAGTCTATTTTCTATTGACAGCCATTGTAATGTTCCCAACATCAATGATATTGGTGTATATCTGTTACATCTCAAAGTGATTCTCATTGCACGATTTTGAAGTTTTTGTAGTGATCTCATTTTATTGAGGTCAAAACCATACAATAAGGTCGGGCAATATTCGAAGTGAGGTTTGATAATTGTATTATATACGGTAATTCTTGAGCTCATACTCAAATGCTGAGATACCCTCGAAAAAAAATATAGTTTTTTGAGTATTTTTTTCTGAATATAATTGAAATGACCATTCAACGTTAAGTGGTTGTCAAGCATAAACCCTAAATATTTAAACTCTTGAACTAATTCAATTGTATTATTTTCTATTTTGATGTGAATTTTATTTATATCAAATTGTCTGTATTTAAATGGTGTGGCAATTATCATCCCCTTTGTTTTGTCTACATTCAGTTTCAATTTATTCATTTTGAGGATGTATCCTGTAATAAAGATTACTACTACTACAGAATTCATTACCTCCAATAAGATTGAGATAACATGCTATTCCTCTTCTAGGTTAATCAATGACCAAACAAAAAATCATTTAAACTCACTTTGCAAAATCTTCAAAACGTTTTCCGACGCCACTTGCGCAGCAGTATAGCCTTGCAATGAAAGTATGCTAGCATCCACGTTATAGCTGAGCAGAATCCTGCAGGCTTGCACATTATCCTCCCTAGCGCACCTGTGGAGTGCTGTCTGGCCTAGTCCGTCGAGTGCGTTCACCTTGGCCCCGTGCCTCAGCAGCACGTCCATGAGATCATAATGAGAATTGTCCGCCGCCACGTGAAGAGGCGTCAGAAAGTCTTTGTTCTTTTCGTTGAGGTGCGCCCCCTTGCGGATGAGGGTTTCTAATACTTGTTTTCGCTTCGGGTAGGGAGATGTGATTGCAGCGTGGAGGGCGGTGTCCCCAGAGTAGGGGTGTTTGAAATTGATGATGTCCGCGGTGAGATACTTTTTCAGTTTGGTTGTATCGGCCTGTCGAGCCGCATCGAGAAGTAGGTGACCTTTGTATTCATCTGAAAAGGAAGAGGAATGTCTAATTATATATCATGTTTGATATTGGAGATATTCAGCTTGTTTTGGCATACATGAGAATATCAATTCATTATCAAACCCACTATCGAAAAAGAGTAAATACTTTGGAAGATTGTAGTAGTGTTTAGCAACTTGATAATTAACTTAGGATATATCTCTCTATCATACCCAACATTTTCCACATGAAATGTAAAATTAACTGGAATACAGTTATACTCACACGAAAGTCTGTCTTGTAGTTCCCGTGTAGGAGCTACGTCTATGGCAGATTTGGAATGGCAGTTCAACTGGTGGGGATCTGCTCCCTCGCTTAGCAAGAGAGAACAAACTTCAAGTCTCGATTTTGAAGCAGCTTCGTGTAGAGGAGTGAAAGCCCAGAGGTCGTTGGCGTTTACATTGGCACCGTGTTTTATTAACATTTCTGTAACTTCAAAGTGACCATAGGAGCAGGCGTTATGAAGTGGGACCAAACCTCTAAAACAATTTATTTATTGATTTATTATTTAATATTTGTTCTTAGTGATTGTAATTGTTCTTAGTGAAACATGTATCACTGAAGAGATAGATGATGCTGAACTTTATATTGAAAGGTATCAGATGTTTAGATGTAATAGTCAGATGTAAGTCGTTATACGGGTGGAGTTTTAATTTTTGTAAGGGAAGATGTTGAAGTTAAGTCAAGTAAAACTCATATAACTGACATGGTTTATTGGTGTCTGTTCATAAAAGTATTTGGGGCTGCATTTATATTTTCATCTAATTTGTTGAATATTTTTGGGTCGAGAAAGAGATGGCTTTTCTGGTAGAGAGCTGTTTAATGTGGTCTAGGTATAGTATGTTTCACTCTAACCTAACATATTAGGGATGTATTGCTGGTTATTAGACCACTGCATTTCACTCTTCATTTCACTCTAAATGGTATTGGCTCATCAACTGCAATAAATTAGCTGGTTTAATCCCATTATGTAGTAAAGTGTTATACTGTGATTCTCTTCTTTTTTTTTTTATTTGGGTTTACAACTTGAGGGTCTGATTGTTTTTATTGTAATGGGCTTGTTTCATGATTTTTGCTTTACATATCATTTGGTAGTAATTTCAAATTGACAAATAGTGAACTTTGTTATAGCTCTCTAAATAGCGTTTTCCCATAATTATTTTCACAAGGACTTTGATTTTTGGTCAGGAATTATAGAATGTTCTGCCTACGAATTGCGTTAACTTGAAAATTAGTTGGCAGAGCAGATCAGGACAGTCAATAAAGTTATGAAACACTTTATGGGGGCATGGAATGAATACTAAGCGTCTTCTGAACTAAAATAATGCACTCATTATTCTTGCTCACACTTATATACTGCCATGAAACATCTCCCAAATGCATAATAGTTTCAGCTGGAAATTATTCTGCATACCAAGTGGGATAATGATAATTCAGGTTTTAATGTTGCTGTCATCAACCTTCTCTGTTTTGTTAATAATGTTCATCCAACTTAACGATGTTCTTAACAGTCGCAATACCTTTTTGGATTATCTAAAAGAACAATTCGTTCAGGCCCGTCTCAAATTACCAACACTGGAGGTCCATGGACTGACACCTATCAGAAAACAACTACTCCCCTGGCTAATACCACGAAGGGTGTTGGATTATATTCGACAGGTATCAGCGCAGGTATTCTGGCAGATGTATCACTAACAGCATATACAGAAATAGCTTTATTAATGATTTATCCGTTAAATGAAGAGCAAAACATTTGGTAATAGAGTACGGCTATCCTAAAAATATGACCAGAAAATAAATGTAAAAATCCAAAATGGTTATGAGACAACTACACGAATATAAACGACCTAAAAACTATTTAAATAGTGCTGATACTAAACACCACTCATTTCGAAGTCATCACTTACCCTTTATCTTTGGCATGAACATCAGCTCCTTGCTGAAGCAGCAACAGCACTACCCGGTTCCTGTTATATCCAGCAGCCAAATGCAAAGGAGTTGATCTTCTTCCATCACTCGCATGACAATTGACATTCAGAGGATTGAGAAGGGCAAGCAGTCTGTCTTCAGCTCCTGATCGAGCAGCTTCAAGGAGTTCATCTTTACGATATTCTCCAGTCAGTACCGGTCTAGTAATAGGGTCTGCTACTTCCAGTGGTGTTTTGCCTTCAGTGTTTCGGATGTTTACGTCAGCTCCGTGTTGAAGCAGTGCTATAAAATTCATATTTATTCATTCAAACCGATTTTTCGATTGTTTTTCAATTGACATAAATGATCAGTTACTTTTTTTACCTATACAAACGTCCACTTTTCCTTTGATTGCTGCTTCGTGCAATGGGGTGTAGTTCCAGTTATCTCTAGTGTTTGGATTAGCCCCTGCCTCGAGTAATAATCTAACAACATCGGCATGTCCAAAGGAACACGCATTATGTAATGGATGGAGGCCGCCATCATCTCTGGCTTGAATGGAAGCGCCTGCCGAGAGAAGAAACTCTACTACGTCACGTCTGCCGTAGCCTGAAACAAGTTAGGAATGAACTGGCTGAAAGAAGATTTCTTTACTTTGCACGTACGTCAAAAATTGCATTTGTTTGCTTTCTCTAAATGTTAGTACAAATTGTATTATTGATTTTTTCACAAGACAAACAAGTATTTTTGAAATAAATTAAAGGCTACTCTCAAAAATATGTAACTACAACTCAATAGATGTCATAATAATGCTTTTTGGGCTTCTAAAATGAAGAATGCACAAAAGTGCATGATCCACACATCTTTGTGGAATTCACTTTGAACTCAATTCCTTTCTTCAGAAGTTTCCCACATTTTCTATATAAAGATGGAGGAGCAGAAAGCCTAAAAGTTTTTTCCCAAAATCTAATCTCCCCTAGAAAGTATTCACAATTGAAATTACAATCCTAGATATATTATTTCATCTACAACTTCAATGATTTCACCATGAATATTAACTGCTGTAAAAATTTTATCTCTAAGGTTTTGTGTTAATCACAGCTTTGGTCTTATCAATATCCAGCTTGAGTTTATCAATTTTATGGGATGAATATTTATCCTAGTGCAATGAATTTCTTTCAACAGCTCTTTTCAAACTCAAATCACTTGCAATTACCACCAAATCACCAAGGAAAAGATTTAGGAACTCACAATTCTGAATATAGTCAATGTGTGATAGTAAAATATTTCAATCAGAGAAATCTCTTGCAGTATGACCTTTCGCTATAATTAACAATCTGCTTGACTTGAGATATATTCAGATACTGAGTCTGTCTGGTTTCAAAGAATATCAAGTTATAGGTATTCAAAATTTCTGATCACATTTGCAAAAATCATACCAGCTGCAAAATGAAGGGGAGTAGACTTCCTTCCAGCAGTATCTCTGGCATTCACAGTTGTTGAAGTAACCAGTTTTCGTACTCTAGTTATGTCCCCTACTTTGCAGGCTTCAAAAAGATCCCTCAGAGGGTCACTGGCACTTGGCAAGGGATCCATTGATGTTTTCAAAACATCCCGTCTACTAGCCATTCCACAATCCACCTATTTTGTTTCACATTACAACACATTCATAATGATTATTATTTAATAGACTATTAAGGGGTATTGCAAATTAGAAAGTTTACACATCTTGTTTGGCAATTAATGATCGATTAATTCTATTGAGTCATATTACACTTTTTTTCTTTATGTTGAACAATAATTTGATATGATTGGTCGGAATAGATTATGGAATGGGAATGGGACATAGACATTATGGAACTGATGCAATGACGTATATGTCTCAATTTGACATTTTGACATCACAAAGTCAAACATAAAATTTTCACTCAAGTGTCATAGAATAGAAAACAGATGTGTCACAGAACTCTATATGCTGTGACTCTATATAAGTCCTGTTCTGGTTCTCTGTCTGGACTGTTCCTAACAGTCAGAAAACAGTTACCCAACTGAATACTGAACATGTTGTTGCGTTAACCTTTTCAGTCGGCAGCTGACTAACTGATTTTGGTCGATTCGAAACAGTACAAACGGAGAACCAGAACAAACCTATATTATAATGTTTTACGACTAACAGGCTTCTCAAATATGGTTGATGCGTATTAGTAGTATTTGCTGAAAGATGCATTCGGGTGGATCAATGTGCGTAGCATATCCATAATTACCACATATGTGGTGTTGTGAACCCTCTCGCTCTTTTGTCGACTCTCCCTCTCGAGCAGTTTTTTCTTATCGTGTTGCTCGGAGTTATTGGGGATGATTTAATTGGGCCTCATTTTCTACCTCCTCGATTAAATGGTGAGGAACACGTTCAATTTTTAAGAGAAGTGCATCCAGTACTGCTGGAGGAAGTTCCTTTGGGCGTCAGAAGGTAAATATGTTCAGAGTATAAGAGAAATTTGAACTATTTGGAGTAGTCCAGTGTTGCTGTTTTATTTAAGTAAATTTATTTGAATATAAAGGAAATACTTTTTCACCAAGTAAAAATCAAGCCATGGTTTAAAAACGTTTATTTATCACAGTAAAATGTAACAAACATCATAAAGTTTGTTAACCAAGAAACATAGTTGTTTGAAAATATTCAAAATGAATAACTAATTGTGATACTTCAACTACTAAATGCACTAACTTCTTTCTTAATGTTTTTCAGAACACTTTGCAGTCTTTCTAGAAGTTCAGAATATTTCATGCTGTCCTTCAATTCGAAAGACAATTTATAACAACTTTTATAAAGTTCAGATAATTTTTCACAGTCTTTATTAGGAGGCGGTTTCGAAAGGCAAATTTTCACTAACAGCTTAAGAATATGCTGCAACCGAACTTTCACTAGTTTCAATAAAGAGAAACACGTTTTGAAGGTATTGTTGTCTTCTCCGTTATCTTCAGTCTGCTCAATTTCTTCTTGAAACTCCACTTTCTTCTCCAATAAAAGATTGATCATCTCTTCCATTTCCAGAACTATCTCCAAACAATGCTGAAGATGTTTTATTTTTGTATTGGAAACACTGGTAGCTACAAAAAAAACATAAATCAGCAAATTATTTCTTTCGAAATGCACAATTTTCAGTGCCAATCATAGTAGTTATATAAACAAAAAAATCTACAATAACGGATTTTTTTATTTACCATAAACATCATCAACTTGATTGGCCAAAAAAGTCACATTCTGGTCGATCTGTTGATCGCAATCACAATATTCCAATCAATTAATTTTATCAGAATAGTATTAGAGATAATACATTAACAATGAAGGTCATAGGAAGTATGAATCAATAACAGTTTTCAACAAATTAAATCTGAGTCAATCTCAAAGAAGATATGTGTGCCTCAGGGCAGTATTCTTGGTCCGCTACTATTCATTACTTTTATAAACGACCTATGTCCAAACAATCAAACAATCTGAACTTTTTATTGGCTGGTGGTGAAGAAACATAGCCACAGGTAGAAAAAAATTATGAAAATGCAAAAAAACTGAGCAAGATGTACTATATATTCAAAATATGTATTAGATATCTGAGTAAAGAAGTATCTAGAATTCTTTTTCGCTAACTTTCAGACTATTATGAAACATATAATAGTATAGTGGAAGGTACTGAAATAAAAGATCATCAACCAGAATATCATGGACTTTAAATAACTGCAAGTAGAACTGTATTCAAAACGAATGATCCTGATTATGTATGGTTTATATTCAAATGCTCAATGTATCTTTTCAAACATAGGTACAACTTTGATATTTTCATCTCTCATAGCTACAACAAGACAAAATTTTGAGAAGAAATTTATTACTCTTATTATTATTATTTATCCTTAGTACTTACTTTCAGCCAAGTACTCTGACAAGGCAAATCTTTGCATTTGTGTGGTGAAGTAGTTGACAGGATCTGAACTCTGGAAATATAATTTCGCTGCTTTCTCATAGTTTATTTTCGCCAACTGAATGATGTTCTTTCTATTACTAGAATCGTTTGGCGTTGACCAAATATGACTGTGATAAAGGGAACCTATTCGGTAATGTATAAGTGCTGCGCGATATTGGTAAAGGGGGTATTTAGGGTTGTTTTCATCAAAGTCACAGTATTGGAGTGCTTTCTGTAGAGTTTCTATCACTTCTTTCTCAGCTTCAGATTTATTCTGAAACAAATAGTAGGAATATAAAGTCAGCAAAGCCACAATTTTGGTTAAATTTCTGCAATTGTACACTACAAAACCATACTTCCTAGATGTCTCTGAAAGTTTGAGATCAATGTGACAAAAAAACTCAGTTCAGAATCAAAGAAACCCCCAGGAGGTTCCATTCAGATTATATGAAAATTAAATTAAATTTCACATTTGCATACATCAAGTGATAAATAATTAGCGGAGTACCGAACATGTATCACATTCAGGTTATTTTGAAGTTGCTTATAATCGATGAAGTTTTAAAAATTTTGCACATAGCAACATTCTAAATCGTCAACTAAATCATTCACAATCAATTAAAGAAGTGAAGGCCCTAGATTAGAACCTTGAGAGATACCAGAAGTTGAGGCATATGGAGTGGAAGGATGGCCATTATAAAAAGTGTACTGTTGTCGACTACAACAACAACAACAGATGGGACGATAATTATCAATATGAGATTTATTACCAGACTCAAAGGAGGAATAATTTAAGCTTGTTTCCACAAATATAGAAATGTTTTCAATTTGAAGAAAGAATGTAATCAAACTTGACGTTTATTTCATGATGGCCTCATCTAAATTTGTTTGTTTTGTGAGGCTTAAATTGTTATCTGAGATTTTTATGTATTTTGGTTTTTCAGACCTTATTAAAGGGTACGTGTGTGTTGCTGTTTTAACTTAAATCAATTAAAAACTCAAAATATAAAACCCTTAACGAACAAACAGATTTGTGTGGGTCTCCACTTTTGAATTTATAAAGATGATAATGCAATTAATCACAGTTTGAAGTTTATGTAGTTGGTATTAATGAACGTAGGTATATTTCTTATTACCTACTCTCGGATATATATACGCCAATAGTTCTATTGGGGTCAGGTGTACTAGAACACTTGAGAATGGTGTAAAAACCGAAACCTTGGTCTTATTAATATCAATACATTAAGTAGACAAAGTATTTTATTCCTATATCCAATTGAAGATACTAATCTTCTGACAATAAAGCATATATTGGTTGATTGATTGATTAACACAATACAGGCATTAAATGCTTAGGTGAAAGTTACTCATTGAAGATAATTGAAATTTAATAACTATGTTATACAACAAATTGTATATTATATTGAAAATAAATTCGATTTGACTTCACCAATTGATGAATAAATTTCATCTAAACTGATATTGTTTGACGAGCCCACTGAAAAATCAACACCCTATGTACAATTTTGTGGTAGCTTTCGAACTGATTTATATAGAATCTTTCACTATAAATTTTCCTGGTACTTTTAAAACTAAATGTGAGGTTGACCAAGAAGCATAAAGGAATACTCAATTTGTATGCAGAATGCCATAACCACTAGCTGAAAAAATTATTGCAATCTTCATTGGCTTGCAGCATTAAAATTACCTTTTTCAAAGAACTGAAAATATGAATCAATAATGGTCCGTCATTCGTTATTCTCAAGAAATTACGATATCAATACTCACCAAGTACGAGGAAGGATTCTCATGCAATATGGTGCCCATGTTGAACAACGCCGTTGAAAGTTCCCACTTCACAGCATCCCAAATACCGGGACAGTGCTGTCTCTCGCCCAAAACTTGCAACGCTTTTTTATAATTGACAAAGGCTTTATTGTAGTGCAACTTCTCCTGTGACGTAATCTCACCTCTTTCATCTGGGGTGTGAGCATGAGCTAACAACCTATGTAGATGCCCTGTATTTGTGTACAGAAGAGCTGTGTTCGCTTCATCCTTAACTCTTTCGAATATTTCCAGCCCGCGAACGAGATAAGGTTCTGCTTTTTTGCAGGTGAGAATTATGTCTTTCGCTGATTTTTCAGTCTTGGCTCTGAAACATGATACTGAAAGTCTTATTTTTGAAGTTACAAGGATTCTTGAAAAAAAAGCAATGTTGCATACAAATTTTCTAATAAAAACTAGTGTTTTGGTACATGCAGAAACAACTAAAATCCCGGAAGGTTATGGTTATGCAAACATGGCAATTTCACCGCTGATGGTAAAGTCGTTGATGTATCAGGAAAAAAACAAGACCCAAAACTGAACCTTGAGGAGCTACAGAATTCACTATACTTTTTTCAGATTTCACCTAGTTCAATAATACGACCTGCAGAGAAGTACAAATCGAACCAAGACAACACACTAAGGTTTACGAGACACCACTGCAGTGTGAAAGTCTTGGTACGAAACATTTAATAAGTTAGACACCTTGACGAAAGGTTCTCATAATATATCAATTTTTATTTTCAAGAAATAACATCTCTCGCCTGCTTATTTAATTTAAAGAACCGTGTTTCATCTGTGATATACTTTAATCTTTTCAACTACTATGTCCTTTTTACTATTTTACTATTCATCTATCAATGAATACCCATTTCACTTATATACAAAAAAAAATTTGAAGAAATTATATTTTTTCACAAGAGTATCCCAACACTTAACTATGCAATCACG